TAATTGTGTCACCATGTACTTCAAAGCTATTTGCATGGACGTCAACCCCCTGCGTTTCTTCTACGTTTTTCACATCTTTAAATGGTTTGTCTTGTAATCGCTTTAAAAGAGTTGTTTTTCCCGCTTTTGTACATCCAACTATGATGCATCTTGCATGATTTACCTTCACATACTTTTTTGCGAGAAATTGTTTAAGCTGTCTAAGTTCTCCAAGGTTAATATCTTTATTTTCTAGAAAATATTAAATTCATTTTAAAAATATTACTTAAAGAAATAAGCATTCATTGAGAAAATAACAACATAAACAAAATTATATTAATCTCATCCATTTTAGAAAACAAGGAACTATCAATAAGCTATACATTGAAGCTATACAGCTAAGATGCATTAACTACATCTATGTATTTAAGAAAAAATATGAGAGTAAATCTTACCTTTCTTAGTTTTAACTTTTCTCCAATACAGTAAAGATATCAGAAAAATAAATAAAATTATGGATGGTAGAAGGACTCCCAAAATTATAGCTAGCTTCCAATCTCCAGCAGTCATCTTTTTTTCTTGAGAACCGTTTAGATGTCTGCAATCAATATTTTAACAACAAAAAAGTTAAGAAATTCCTTTTTATTCAGAATCGTACAATAAAATTCTACGAATAAATTTTGAGATTGATGCACACACACACAGTAGGCTTGGTTGCATGCAAACTTTTCACATTTCATCCATACAGTTAGATATTAGAACATGTTTTGATTAATGAATATTTTACCATAGCAAATTAAACAATTACATTTGTACACGATTACAGTCACTCTCTACCATCGGCTCATACGTCTGAGAGAGGAACGAACGACAACTCTGCATGGGAGATTGGATTACAGTAGTAGTAGTAGTAGTAGTAGTAGTTAAAAAAAATCTTATATGGTTTCAAGTTCAACCATTTGCAGGAGTAAATCAAAGATTTCTTGAAACATCCGAAGTGAGACTAGGGAACATACATGTAGGTTTATTTTTATTAGCGTTTTTTCCCGAATTATATTATTGTGATATGTAATTGTTTTATGGTCTGATTTAAAAATATTTCAAACTTCTACGTCAGTTTATTTAAATCATGAATTCATTTCAACTTAATTTTGACGAGATTTTTTTCTTATGCTTGGAATATCAGTTACATGTACATATAGAAACCTTCATTTACAGAAAATTTAATTCATAACGGTAAAAAATAAACAAGAGATGTTTGTGAAACACTTATGCCTCCTCCCCCCAAATTGGAATTTTTCGAAGTCAAAAAAGGGCATAACTCTGTCAAAAATGGCATGATTGTACCCAAAACAAAACTTGACCAATATATTTATCTGATAAATCTGTATACCAAATTTCATCTCAGCAGGTGCAACCTCTGCCAAGAAAATAAACGGAAACTGCAAACAATTGGAATTTTTATAAGTCCAAGGGGCATAACTCTGACAAAAATGGTGCGATCGTACCCAAAACATAACTTGACCTAGATATACTGTAGAATCACAAATTTTCGTGGGCATAAAATTTTGTTGATTCATCATCAAAAATAGATTCGTGGGCATTTAATTTCGTTGTTTTGAGATTTACCCTATTCAATATATAGTCAAATAAAATTTCGTGTGGGATTAAATTGTTGACTTGCAAACTAGGGTATTTCAAAGTAACTTAAAAAAGGGCGAAGATTTGTGAAGAGCTTGAGGGCATAAATCTCGAAACCGTTGCAACTTCATAGGTGGGATCAGCGACCTGGGTTGAGTTAACATTCATTGTTGACCGATAACACCCTCTTTGAGCCCTAAATGTATTGATTAGATAGACGAAACATTCCGTAGTAAAATTCAATATTAAAATAAAGGCCTAAAACTGGCGTGAAATAGACCAGCCAAAATACAGCCAAATGAAAGGTTATATTTCCTAACAAGGTAGTTAAAATGACCATAGAATATACAAAATGCCAATTTAAAACAATTTTTTTTTCAAATATCTGTAATATCAACATCTCTGTTAGTAGCCTGCCTCGATTAAAAATATGACTGACTAGGAGTATGATATGTATGCAGGTGATAGCGGGATATTACTACATAAATAACGAAAGTTAACAATTAAGAAGTTAAAGACATCTCGTTTGTCATATATTTAGTTGTAAGATTGTTAATAATCTATACATGTATATAAATATTTTTCTCTTCAGATTCCATTTTTATGTAAATTTGAATAATTATTAAAAAATCAAAAACTACATGGTTAAACTTGTTCATTTTACTCATTGAAACATGCTCAGGTTGTTATTTTCAATTTTTATGATTAAGCATATGCTTTATTATACTTACATACTAGAACAGTTCTTGTCAGCCTTAAAACACTTATATGCTGTGTTAATGTGTAGGCACGCTGGAACTGAATAATAAATATTAAGTAAAAAATGCATTAATTAAAAATAATAAAAAATGTTTTTAAAAAATTATTTTCTGACTGTGTTAAGTTTTTTTTTTCAATGATTTCGAATTGATCCTTTTAGACTACATGAAATGCACTGTGCAGTATAACAATTGAAACATTTTTTTCCAACTTACATTTATAAATTTGCTCATCGTAAAATGATGTGTTTGGACAACCCTCAGAAAAAGTTTTCACACATTTGACATGGTTAAGGTCACCTCTTCCTTCAAGTCTGACACAAGAATCTGTAATTAATTTCAAATATAAAAAATATCAATATTTATCATCTCACCGACTTTGAATAATCAATTATACAACCATATATATTAACAATAAAAGTCTCTCTTTGCTGTTAATACAGGCATTAACGGTTAAAGATATTGCAGAAAAAAATTACATAACCGACTTGCGAAGGTTTTGTTATTTTTGTTAATTTCTTTGATATCAGACAAAAGTTTAATTATACGGTATTAGAATCGCCCTGGTTCTTAACAGAAACTAAGAATATATAAATTACTTCTCCTTAAACCGTGCATCTTAAATACATGAAACATGAACAACCAATTCAGAAAATGTGTGTCCCCCGCTTAGGAAAAAAAGAAGAGCATGCTTGGATCTAAAGGGGGGTCGAAGGGTGGGGCCCTTTAAGAAAAGCCGGTAGTGCCATAGGGAGTTAGGGTGTAAACTATTGTTTTATTTTATTTTGAAATTACATTTACTTTAGATTTAACTTGCATTGCATCAGACTTGTTAAAACAAAATGAAATTCTAATGCAATAGATTTGTAAAACACTTTTTGATTGGCTAATGCGCTCATGTTTGAAGCAGTAAAACGAGCATTAACGAGCGTGAAAGCTATTTCATTGTGACGTCATAATACAGCAACGCAAAAACACAATGCTCCGTGACGTATTTCTTGTAACAAAATTCATCAAAATGAGACGTAAACAACCAACAAAATGCATGGATTGCATTAGAATGGGAATAACTATCTTCTAATTTGATATTTGCGACCGTTAAATGCTGATTTAACGGTTGCAAACATGCGTTTTACGGGCTCCGCTTACGCGTCGCCGGTAAAACTCAGTTTGCGACCGTTAAATCAGCATTAACGGTCGCAAATACCAAATTAGAAGATAGTTATTCCCTAAATTAAGAAAAATAATAAACCTGGGCCATAAAGTTTCCTTTTACGGTTCGTACAAAATTCTATCAAACTTTGTAGTTGATTATCAGGAGAACATAAATATCTAGTATCTGTTGTGCAATTCATCCTTATTGCAGCACGCTGAAAGGTTGAAGAATTCATGGGACACTCCGGAACTGGAAACATATTAAAATCATAGGAGTATGCCTATAAAATAAACCAAAACTTCAATAAATCATAATTTTTTTTTATTTTCAGGCACGTAGCATCAGGGTGTCGGGGCAGGGTGGGTGGGCTTTTTTCCCCAAAACATATAACTTTTAACAATCCACCCCGTTTTTCTTGTAGAATAGTGAAATAAATCAGAGACATATATATCTCTGAATAAATGTAATGTAATGTACTTGAGCGTTTATAAAGAAAATGCTACTCAATGGCTTTTGATTATATTCCGCCAAGTAGGATTTTTTTTTTTACTTTGGACAAGTTTTCCTTTTGATTTTATGTAATTTTCGCTGCCCCCTTTTTTTCTTTCATAATGATGCTACGACCATGGATTTTTTAAGCAAAGAACACAAATTGTCATTACAACCAAACTTAGAATTACAATACAAAAACATAATGAAGATAAACATTGATTCTTTATGACCTTTCAGCAATAATATTTTTTATGAAATTTTTTATGAACTGCTTGCATTTTGTCTTTGCTCCAATCGACATAAAGCGGTTACTTAGCAAACGTTATTTCCGCTGCATTTCATTTCCGGAAATTTGCATAGCATTTCCGACATTTTTTATTTCATTTCCGACATATTTTTGTTTTCATTTCCGGAATTTACCTGTGCGGCAATTTAATGTTTTCCTAGTCAGCGAAAGTGAAATTTTAAAAGTATTTATTGCAAAATAATGATCAACAATATATTTTAAAAATCCATTTATTATACACTTGATGTACTCTTATCGAGTTTTTACTCTGGTTGATTTGTATGCCTTTCAATTTTTCACGGGTTAAGTCTTGGCACTATCTGAAAAATGTCGGAATTGAAAACAAAAAAATGTCGGAAATGAAAACTAAAAAACGTCGGAAATGAAAAGAGGGAAAAATTACCATCTTGTTTAATTATGTCCAGGGAATCAAGCCTAGGGCATAATTATCTATCAAATTAATAAATTATCAAATACTTACCGGGTACCCTTTACTACGAGAGACAATACCAAAGGCTTGCATAATAAGGAAGATAAAAATAGCCTTAAACAATGAGGGACTCTTATTTGTTGACATTTTCTTCTAATAACCTGCAAAATAAAATGAGTCAATTTTAAAGGACTCCACACCTTAAGAATCACAGGCACTTGAAATTTTTAACATTTGCTTTCACAAATAAACAATCCATCATACTATACATGTATATAATCTTTATTGCCCAAGACATACATCATCTTATATCATATGATTGTATAATTCCTATTTTTCTGATTGGCTGAGATCCAACTATGTGGAGGAAATACTACGTTATATTTACCTGCACGTGACGTTCCAGGCCAATACAAGGATTTATTTTCTCTACATTGATCTAAAAATAGATCGGGAAATTCCAAATCGATACAAATTGTTTCTGAAAGCTATTTAAACGACTATGACTTTTTTTCATGTGACAAAAAAATTAGCTAATGGCCATATATCTTTTCAGATGAGGGTGGTTGGAGGGGATGCAGGTTCCCTCCAAAACTTTTACTAAACAACAATTTTTGGCCTAAACAAAATCAAAATTGCTTTATTTTATAGAAAATCGAATGCATTCATTTCATTTTTGCGAATTCCAATTCATTTAATGTAAAAAAAAAAAAAAAAAAAAAAAAAAAAAAAATGAAAAATAAAAAAAAAAGATTCATAGAAAATACTTTCTTTCTGGCAATCTAATTAAAATTAGATGATAGATCCGCTCGCATACCCGCTATGTACAGCTATTTCTTATTTGCTAACAAAAATGTAAAATGCCTTGAAGTATCTCTTTAAAAAAATGCTTCAATTCTACATGTGGTAATGTTCATATATATGCACCGTGTATTCTTAAAATGAAAACGTGCGTCTTAGGTGAGAGAATTCAGTTGAACTAGTTGTCAAAAGTATTTTTTCTTCTAATTTTTTTGCTATATTGCAGTCACTTTTCTATTTTTAAACAGAGAATAAAAGTATGCATTGATATTGCAACGATTTTGTGATATAAACTTCAAGTAAATATCTTATTAATTAAGATAATATTCTTTTACAGCAGCAACGTCTCAGTAATATTAAAGTGTTCTAAGGAACGTTAGATAAGTGTTTTATAGAGTGATATTATTAAAAGGAAAGTAAATTAGTCATAGAACTTCGACGTATTTTGTGTACATTTATTTCTAAATCAAATGGCTTTAATTCTATTTATAGTCTTTTGCTGTTTGTTTGCTTTTTTGGGGGGGGGGGGGGGGATATAAATTTATGGACCATTCGACCAAAAGAATTGTATTGTTTTCATTTGGGTCATTATTTACATGCATACTGAATTGTCTCAGATTTTTTCTGTTTGCCTGATAATGACAGCAGATCAAGGTGGGTGTGGTCGATCGACAGTGGATGCTTACTATTGTATGGTGCATACTACCACTTCTAATGCTTTTAGAGGTTGTTGTTTGCTCTATTCTCAATATACTTTGTGTTTCATTGGACTTTTCAATTGATAACTGTTCGTTGCTTCCATATTTCATTCACCTTGGACGAAATACCAATTTATAGTGCCTCAATGTTTACGGATTTTCGATATACATGTATGTACATATACAGTAAAAATATACGTCAGATAAACACTTGCCAAAAATATCAAGTTTGATAGTTTCTCTGATTGCCAAGTTATATTGTTTTATTTTAAAATGGGTTCTTACCTTATTCTTGTCCCTCAAAATCGATTTAGAGGTCGTGATGCGCAAAAATAAATCAAATCGGAGATTTACACCTGTGTGTGTGTGCACTTTAAGGATATTTAAAGTTTTTTCTCTTTAAACTACGCATTAGTTAAATCAACGACAATGCACTTGAATATTGTGGAATATAAACATGCATCCGCGGAAAATATTTCTATAAAGGGGAAAAATACAAGTAAATAAATAAAGTGCCACGCCACAGCATGATACGCCCGTCAAAAAATTACAATTATAATGTATCTTAAACAGTTAAAAGTGCAGAAAAATCATGTCAATCTTGATTTTAAGATTTCAATGATTTTTACACACCTTAAAAAAATTTGTTTATCCATCTCCTGTGGTGTATGCATTAATTATAACAAATATTGCATCATTCATAGATTTCTATACCTTGCCAAATGCCTATCATATTAAACAATATCAAATTACACAACTTAATCAATACCTAATTAATTTTGGAAATAAAAGGCTGGCCATCAAATATAAACTGACCAACAGTTCCTCTGTCTAATTCCCATAAGACCATGCTCTGAAAAAATGAAAGAGACATGCAGCTAGCCTTCCTACATTGAACACATTAATTAATCTTTAACTGGATGCTTGTCTACTCATTACTCCCAAAAGATTATTGGATCTGCACTATCTACCATAAAAGTCGATAAAACATTTTTAAAACATACAAAACATCAATGATTTTTTTTTGGATTTAATATCAAACAGTTAATTGTTAATATGCAATTGACATGGACATGCAGATTCCACCCCTACACCCATAAAATTAATTTTTAAGTTCATAATATTATGTAATATTAAAATAGTTTAATATGCAATATCAAATTAGTTTTAATTCTTCTCATCAAATTCATTTTAAAACTTCGGCTAGCCAACTGAAGCTATCTTTAATCCAACAGGCTTACCCATTTGGCCCAATACTCAAGGGATACAGATAGCACCGATGCTCTTAACAGCTACTCCTCACATTAAACTCATTAATTTCTCTCTCTAATTTGACATGCAATTTTCTGTTATCAAAATTTTTCTTGACCAGTGCTTGATAATTAGACTCAAGGGAGTGGTGGAATTTCTCTAACATACATTATATTTGTTATAGATTGCTGTCAAGTATATGCTAAAAACAATAAGTATTTTCTTGATTTAACATTTTTCTAATAAGGTTAGTGCAATAGTTTTACATTTTTTTGAATGTGTAAATGAAAAGAAAAAAAAGAATTTTTTTTTAAATTCCACTTAAATTAAGTGACCTTGAAATAGGTCGCGACACACCTTTTACCTAAGATGCATAAACTGCCCAAGTTTGATGATCCTAAGTCTAATAGTTTTCTAGTTATGGACCGGACAGGATTTTTCCATATTTGGCTATAACTTTTTAATTATAGGTCAGAGCGACCTACTTTTTGTGCGCGACACACCTTCTACCCAAGATGTATCAGCTGACAAAGTTTGATAACTCTAGGCCTTATAGTATTAAAGTTATGAGCCGGACACGAGAAAAGCTAACAGACGGACGGACGGACGGACAGACAGACGGACATGAAGCCTATAACATAATACGTCCCGTCTTAAGACGGGCGTATAAAAAAGACACTTAAACGCATCAATTCCTTTGTTGGCCAAGATTCTTAATCTTCATGGGCCTGAATAGGTCATCCGTGCACCGAAATCATGTAAAAACTATCAAAATTTGCGGTTTCCGCTCATTTTCTTCGCAGAGGTTGCACATACTGAAATTATGATATACAGATTTATCGTAAGAGTATCTAGGTTAGGTACCGTTTTAAACCAGAGGCCATGAAACTTAAAGAGGTAACATTGCTCTTTTTAACTTAACATGTTGCTTGCTTTAAAATTGATTACCACACTTAATATCCAGAGGCAAAGTAGGAGAAAAAAAGAGAGACCCATAGGCTACGCTCACCCGACCACTGTGACTTAGCCGCTAGACAGAAATCATATCAATTTTAACAAGAGTTGTTTGTTTTAACACTTATGCCCCCTCCCCCCAAATAATTGGAACTTTTTTTTAAGTTGAAGGGGCCTAACTCTGTCAAAAATGGCTTCATCGTACCCAGACCGGTACTTAACCTACTCTTACGATAAATCTTTATACCATAATCATTTCAGTATGTGCAACCTCTGCGAAGAAAATGAGCGGAAACTGCAAATTTTGGATTTTTTTAAGAATAAAGAGGCTTTATCTGTCCAAAATGGACCGATCGTACCCAAAATAGAACTTGACTTATTCTTATGATAAATCTGTATATCATTTTTCATTTCAATATGTACAACCTCCGCGAAGAAAATGAACGGAAACTTATGGTGGACCGACAGCAGCAAAGCAATATTTCCTCGCTTCTTCGAAGAGGGTATAAAAAGCTGAAATCCATAAATGGTCTTAACCTACCAATAAAAAGGAGGGGATATATTTTGATCAGTCTTTAATGTGCACCTTTCTAAGACTTCCAAAAACCTTGCATCTTATAAAGATGAATAAAATGAAAATTGTTGTATGAAAAAAATTAATTTAAGCGTCATTTTGATGCAATTCAAATTAAATATTAATTTTGAGTTATCCTTCCTGGCTGAGGATCGGATATTCTTAAGTTTGAACATCCATTTTGCCCCCCCCCCCCCCCCAGTCATGATTTGACCAATCTGAATCCCTACCTGAGGATTATTCTCTTTAGAGAAGTGAACAGGCTTCGCCTACATCAACTTCTCTTCGCAGGCATTCATGTTATTCTGGAAAACGTATAAATGTAGAACTGATCGACGTAGGCCGTCACCGGTTCTACATTTTTATACGTTTTCCAAAATCTAAATATGACGGCCTGCGAAGAGAATGGGATGTAGGCGAAGCCTGTCCACTTTTCTAAGGACAATACCTGAGGATGTTTCCATGTAAATCTGTAATTTAGCTCTGCTGTGTATGTGAAGATTTTTTCCTATTTAAAACTTTCATTGTGGCCCGCCCTATCCCCGGGGATCTTGACTTGAACAAATTTGAATCTACACTATCTGAGGATGATTCCGTATAAATATGACCAACCATGGCTATGCTGTTCTTGAAGATTTTCATCGATTTTTCTTATGTAAAACTTTGCTCATCCATTGTGGCCAAACCCTTTCCCCGAGGGTCATGAATTGAACAAACTTGAGTCTACACTACCTGAGGATGTTTTACCATAAGTTTAACCTTAACCTTTTCTGGAATAGTGGTTCTTGAAGAGAATTTAAAACAGGCCACCAAATTGTCACCATTTCTTTATTATCTCCCCTTGAAAGACGAAAATGTAAAAAGTTTACAGAAATGCGATCAGAAGAGCTCACTTGCCAAATATCATTTCCATTAATCAGCAATAAACAGTATGGTGCCGCCACCCCATGGGAACCCCTGGGGCCACACAACAGTTTTAGAAGACACCATTGCTCATCCTAAATGTTTGATTAGTAATTCCAAGATTTCAAAGCATTAATTCATTTTCAGAGTATTTATAATCTTTAGAGCCCCCCCCCCCTTCCCCGGAATTAGAATTTTTGGAAGCCTATTTTGGAAGACTGGTGAAAGAACTTTGTTCTTCATAGCTAAATATT